CCCCAAAACCCCAAAACCCCAAAACCCCATAAGATACAATCACTGCCAAACAAGTATAATAAATTCCAATTAAATCTATATATTTTTTCATATTCAATCAATACTTATTAATTTGTTGCCTTAATCTTTCTCTTTGCAAGTATAATTCTTTGAAAGCTTTCTGCATAATAATAGTCTCATTCAATGCTTTATCGATTCCTCCCATACTCATATTATTGCTTTAATTCCCCATATTGATAGAATGATTTGAGCTTATACCTCCGTGACTCATGTTACTACTTTGATAAGTAGCTGCGCCTCCATTGAATGTGTTCATGTTAACAGCACTATACTTCTCCAGATGCTGTATGAGTTTGGCGGTTCTACTGCTACTAGTGCTAATAGAAGTTCGTGAAGTCTCAAAGTGTTTAGATTTTGTGGATGATGGTGCAATCATTAAACTTTTATTATGATTACTCTAGTTTATTGCATCACTAGCATATTTATTAGTTGCGGAGTTCATCTTATCATAAACAGTTTAACTGTTTACATGAGATTAATGATTGCTTGGAGCATTAGAGAACCTCTTAGTTATTAGTGTTGATGATGGCATCGTCAATGGGATTTATTGCTGTTGATATGAGATATTATGATTAATCTGTAAATGACTGAATTTGTTATTTGGGATGTTTCTGGTGGCATTACGATTGATGCTGGTTCCACTTGACTCAATACATTTCTTCATTCTTTGACCTAATTTAGAGTTGAAGTCAAGAGTACTACTATTGCTGTTTGTGTTTGATTGAAGTTGAGAGTCATTTTTCTGATACTTTAACGTTGATTTTAGGTTTCCATTCGACAAATCTAAATTGGGGTTTGAGATAAAACTTTTGGATATTGGTTGACTACATGTGATAGCAGAGTATCTTTTGTTTTCGAAAGTATTAGATTAGTGCTGTTGTTTGCTTTTAGAACTAACTGTTGAGTTGGTCAAATTTCTTTTTTGCGATTAAGTGTCAGAAACAAATTTATGCTTTGATTTTGATCTCTCATTTTATGCTTTATTAGATTAATTTAACTCATATTATTGAAGTTTAGATTGATATGCAAGTTTCTCCTTCGAAGATACATAGTGATTAGCTTTAGAGTTTAGAGGTTTACTTGTCTGATTCTATGAATATCTTCTTTATTCCATTTACGTTTTGGTTTCTTATCTTAACTCAAGATAAAATTTCAATATCTATTTTTATTCAAGCGACTTTTGATTGACATTATCAAAACTAAGCCTATTTTGAGTCTTCTAATTTTCAATCTGACTCTTGTTATCTCTTCTAGTTGTGGATTTATTTGACATCTCATTGCTTTACAAAGCCTTGACTTCTTCTCTGTACTTCTGAAACTCCCCCTTATCATACAATAACTTGTTGTCCTTTCCATTATTGGTATTACTATAATTTGATTCTAGAGTAGTCATATTATCTCTAAAACTATCAGGCATTCTCAAGAAACTAAGCTAATTACTGCTATCAATCTGATTATTTGATTTTTAAATTTGCTATTTATTCATTTGAAACTCATTTGAAATATCTCTGTCCATGGTTTACAGATTACCAGTGTTAAAATTTGTTGATTAGTCTTGGTAAACAGAATCTACAAAAGTGTTTAATTGTATATTACTTAATATCTTTGGAGATAGCTTAGACTAGTCCTCCCCATAGGTCTTTGTATAACTGAGACAACTGCTATCATTAATGCTATTTACACCTAAATCATTATTAATTGCTTAAATATCCAGAGTTATCCTATTGTGGTAGTTGCTTAGAGGTATGTTATTAGCCTTCTAAATTGGCTGATTTTGTGTCAGATCAATAGATTTTTCTCTTTTATAAGGATTTTTCTAAAATTTCTATGTTGACTCTAATTACTATTACTAAAGTGAAGACTATAATATCACATTACCCTAAGAGTTTACACTATTTTAGCCAAATATGTTTGAATCAGGCTGTTCTTAAACCCCAAAACTGTATTTGAGATTACTCGCTAAGCTCATAATCTAAGGATTATCAAAATATGATTCTAGTTTCCTCTAAGTGTTATTGGTATTTGCATCACTCTTAACATTAATCATATTTTTGCTCATTAGATTTGAAGAAATAAGCTAAGGAACATATTCGATAATGGGTGATATATCAGTAGTGTCACCGATGTTGACAAAAGAGGAGGACTTGTTTAAATAAGCTTAGTTGATTGGGGCGTTCCGAGATTGCTTTACGACTGTGCTCTAATTTGATTCATTCTAAATAAACTCTATTGATATTGAAATGTCGTCATCATCTTCATCGCCTTCCTCCAAATTATTGTGTGAGGAATCTTTCCTGACTGTTTATGGCGTCTAATTTGCTGAAGGTGTATTGAAGAACTCCTTAGGGAATTCATACTTCAGCTTCTGTTTGTACTTTTTCTAAAGTTTATCATATTCAAAGGGAGATTACTGAATGCCTTAGTTTACTGGGAATGGGGAAAGAATCTAGTAGTGCTGAACGTGAAGAGGCTTGTTCCCATAATTCTGACAATAATTTGAACTTTGCTGATTCTACTAGCACAATTTGATATTGGGGGTATTCAGATTATTTTCTTTGTTGCCTGGATTAAATGTGCAATAGTCATTAATCTAGGTCTAGTGCGAAGGCTAAGTGCTTTATTAGGTGCTTGTGGGGTTATGAAAATGGTGCCTTGCATTGGTATTTATATTTTTCATTTTATTGCTTAAATTTAAATTTTAAATATTATTCTGTTGTCTTATCTATTATATCCTTATGGGGTTTTGGGGTTTTGGGGTTTTGGGG